GGAATGAATAAAAAAGTATAAATCTGACCTTCAAAATACTTTTTAATGTTTTTCTAGAAGTATTTAGAAGATTAACAACATGGTGGGTGTTTCATGGAAGGTGCAGGCTCAGGTTGAAAATCTGAATGTTTCTTAGACAAACATTTCTTAAGGAAAAATCCTTCCATCAGAAAAATCTGTAGCTGCCAATACAGCCTGCAGAAGATACACAAGGAAGACAGGGACTGGATATTATGGGCGAGCACATGTTTACTAATGAGAAAGTTCTCCATTCTAGAATCTCATTTAATTTTGAAATGCTCCAGTTAAAAAAACCCAAAGCATATCATGTTTTTCTTTCTCATCTATACTTTGTAAATGTAAAATAAAAAATGTAAACCAATTTAAAGTACATTTAATTTCCTTTCTAAAATCACAAACTGTAGTAATACATATTTTTTCTTGTTTATCCTCAGAGTGACTATGCTTAATTTATACTACGGTGTATGAAGAATGTAGGACTAGGCACTAGTTATAGAACATCACAGTGCTGTTCTGAGCTTATTTTGTTAACCCAGATTGTTGTTTCTCTGTGGTTATTTGTAACAACTGTATAGACAGACATGGCATGATTATTCCTTACCAGCTCATTGCTGCCATCCTCATCAAAATCCTCCTCTATCCCATCAGTCATATCTTCTCCATCCCCATCTGCATCTGGCCCTCCTTCAATTGGCTCTTCTGTAGAGTTATCTGCATTCTCTGATATGCATTCCTCTTGAATCAAATCAGCATTATCTTCCATTTGTTTCTTTTGAGCTTCTGTAAGGAAAACATACTCTATAGAGATTCAGTAACCTTCCCTATTGCTGGCAAAGAAAAGTGCTCTAAGGAAGAAACCTAAGCTTCCCATCTCCGGATGTGCTAGCTTTGTGAAAATCAGTGTGTTAATATCTACCAGGCAAATATCATCAAAATCCTTGTTTTAAAAAATTAATGTGTAAATCAACCATAGTACCAACATGCTCATCTATCCCATGCAGTGGCTGAAGGCTTGATTTAGCAGCAGATCTAGCCTTGTGATTTTCTGGACTTTAGTTTGCCTTGGGAATCCAAGCAGTATAGTCACGGTATATTTATTTACCTGCAGCCAATGAAAAGTATAAATGTCTATGCTCTGAGAAGTGCAAAGCTGTTAATTGCCAATAAGTGAATAAGGCTTTGCATAAAATTACTGTGAATATATCTCAACAACGATACAGATAATCAACAAATCCTTCTAGACAACTGAACATAAGTTTTATGGAGTAAAGTAACAGTTTCTCCTTGTTGGTATAATGTGCTGAGGTAACTGGAGAATGCCCCCCTCCAGTTACCCAAATATAAGTTTTGTATAATTTTTGCAAAGTGGTGAAAAGAAAGATCATTTCCATGAAGGGCCTGAGGATCTGTTCTGGTTGGCTTGGCACAGATAGCTGCAATGCTTTGATAAGTATTGCAAGACTCCTGGATATGCTGAGTAATTTCATCCAGTCAGCAGAGATCCAGAGGAGGATTAAGGGAGGAATAACACAGACAGACTGGCCAGTAGACTGGCTGGGGGGATCAGAGTCTTATCCCTATGCACATCAGGAGTTTAGACCATAGAATCATAGAATGGTTTGGGTTGGAAGTGATCTTAAAGATCACTTAGTTCCAACCCCCCTGCCACGGGCAGGGACACCTTCCACTAGACCAGGTTGCTCAAAGCCCCGTCCAACCTGGACTTGAGCCCTTCCAGGGAGGGGGCACCCACAGCTTCTCCAGGCAACTTTTTCCAGTGCCTCACCACCCTCACAATAAAGTACTTCTTCCTTACATCTAATCTAAATCTATTCTCTTTCAGTTTAAAGCCATTACTTCTATCACTACATGCCCTTGTAAAAAGTCCCTCTCCAGCTTTCCTGTAGGCCCCCTTTAAGTACTGGAAGGCCTCTATAAGGTGTCTGCAGACCCTTCTCTTCTCCAGGCTGTACAACCCCAACTGTATCAGCCTGTCCTCACAGGGTAGGTACTCCATCTCCCTGATCATCTTTGTGGCCCTCCTCTGGACTCCTTCCAACTGGTCCATCCCCTTCTTATGCCAGAAGCCCCAGAGCTGAACACAGCACTCTAGGTAGGGTCTCACCAGAGTAGAGGAGAGGGGGAGAATCACCTCCCTCGACCTGCTGGCCACACTTCTGTTCAGCCCAGGATATGGTTGGCTTTCTGGGCTGCAGGTGCACATTGCTGGCTCATAGTTTTTTATCCACTAACACCCCCAAGTCCTTCTCCACAGGGTTGCTCTAAATCCACTCGTCACCCAGCCTGCATTTGTGCTTGGGATTGCCCTGACCCATGCGCAGGACCTTGCACTTGGCCTTGTTGAACTTCATGAGGCTTGCATGCGTCCACCTCTCAAGCCTGTCCAGGTCCCTCTGGATGGCGTCCCTTCCCTCCAGTGTGTCAACTGCACCACACAGCTTGGTGTCATCAGCAAACTTGCTGAGATATATTCTTCATGAGAGTAATGCAAACTTAAAAAATAAAACAAAAGGGCAAGATGATGGCTGGATTTATGTTTTGTGTAAATGAGACATAGAACCTCTCTCTGATCCCAGTCTTAGCGAGGCCATACCTTCTTGCAGAGGAAAGTAAGAAATAATATTGCCAAACCATAGGGAAGGAAAAAAATCATCTCACATCTGACACCATAAATGAAATATTTCAGCTACTGATGTAGCTTTATCTTACACAGATCTTTCAGCTGAGGAAGACATCACCTGCAGAGTAATCACCCAGGCTGCATAACCCTCTTCATCAGCTCAGGAGTCTTAAATGGGGATCCAGGTTTACTGATATCTCTGAGATGTTTTTTCTCCTCACACCCTCCAATGAGAGGCAAGGAATTTGGAGGATGGGTTTTGCACCTGATATTTTAAAACATCAACAATTTGAAACCAGTTTTTAATCTCTGAGGATATTATTCATTGTTTGTCTTCAAAAGGCATAACAGTATGATTCAATACAAATCAACATTTTCCTCGTTGAGTTGATTTCTATTTAAATGAGTTCACTATAGTCATTTAGCAAGAGTGAAAATTTGATATCAAAGTACAATGACATGCAGGTTGTTTTGCATAGTAATGGATTTTATATAAAAGCTCCCTGAAGTAGGGATGCGCCATCTCAGAGCATTTCAGTACACAAGTGATTCAATGGAGTGCCTTGCAATTACATCTTCACTGATTATACCAACTTTTATCTAACTTGCATAAAGTACAAAACATAATATAATGAATACATATTGTGTACGGTTCTCCTGGAAGAGATAATCACACTCTCTACTAATGGTTTACATTAGCCTTGAAAAAAAGCACTCAACTTATTTTGTGGGGTAAACTATAACAGCCGAGGGATTGATCCTTTTCTGTGAACTTAAAAAATGATTGTAAATAAAAGGTAGGTTTTTTAAAGATCTGTTTTCATTTGTTCTGTTTTTTTTTTTTTGTTTGTTTGTTTGTTGTTTTTGTGGTGTGGTTTGTTGTTTTTTTTTTTTTTTTTTTTTTTAAACTTGTTAACCACAAAATATTTCTTTCTGTAGTGTTCTGACCTTGGAAGATATTCAGTAGAGTTATTTCTGAATGCCACCAGGAAGCTTCTGGGTTCAGAGATATACCCCCACAAAAGATGAGGAGGGATCCAGATCGAAATACCTATTTTGCCTGTGTCAGGTTTATGAACCTCAGTTAATTCTCACCATTTTAGATAGTCTTGATGGAACTCTCTTTATTTGTCCTATTGGGTCTTTTTGGATTCACATAATTGATTTGAGTTAGGCAAGTGACACAAATCTGAGTGCCCAGACACCCAGTCACCTGAGGATTCTGAGGCAATTTCTTTCACACATTTCACACAAAATACATAAAAAGTTTTCATCAGAAAATTGCGGGGGGGGGAGGGAAAGAAAGGAACATTGAGATTTTTCATGAGATAAGGCTTCCATTTCCCTACTGGCTTTCATCAAAATCATCTCACTAGTATGCTGCTCCTGTACAGAGATATATCATGTGATTTATAAGGAAATAGAAAAGGAAATACCATAGACAGTGGTAAGAACTGAGATTTTTTTCTATATGAATCATGGTGAAAATACAGACTTATAAATCCCTTATAACTGCTCAACATGGCTTTAAAGTGCTGCCAGGTGAGATCATTCAGCTAAACAAAATGACCACTGTAATGATGGAAATAAAGATCTTGATTAAATATAAAAGTACTGTTGGATTTTGTCATTCCCAAGGTTTTCCTCAAAACAAAACATTTAAATCCAGAGAGAAGCTGAATTGGAGGTGTGGCCAGTTTTACAGAGCCACCACAGCTTCATACAATAGCTCAGGCTGGAAGGGATCTCTGGACTCTCCAATTCCAGCCCCTCTTCAAAGTAGGGCCAAACTCAAAGTTTGGTCCAGGTCCATGGGGCCTTGACCCAATGAGTTTTGAACATCCCAAAGAGTGGAGCTACTACAGTCTCTCTGGGCAACCTGCTACACTCCTTAGTCACATCTCTTTTCTTATATCAAACAGGAATTTCCCTTGATGCCACTTGTGACTATTGCCTATGGCCCAGGCAATAATTCCTGATATGGGCCATTTAATAATTCTTAATGTGGAGAGCACAAGCATCCCCAAGGTCCACAACATCTAACTTAATTCTGTCCAGTCAATTTTTTTCGTGATTTGTTTCCAGAACATCTAGTAAGAATCTTTATATTTTTTTCCCTACTACAGCAAAGAAAACAATTCTTCAGATGATGTTATATACGCTGTGAAGAATATTAATTTATCCTCCCAATAATTCTATCTGAGAGTTAATTTACCTTGCTTCAGACCTCCATTATGTAGCAAAATTTCTCGAAGGCTTCCACTGTCTTTGGTCTGCCTACCTGACTGATAACTAGGTTCTAATTTAATTCATTTGACTACAAATTGCTTTCACCTACCTGCTTCAGCTTTTTGCTGCTTTTCAATCTTTTCCAGTCTCCCTAGCAAGGAGTCAATTTTTGTTTTGATTTGGGTTAATTCCTTCTTGATTGTTTGCAATTCATCTGATTTCACTGTGGAAAGAGAGGAAAGATGCAAAACATGAAATAAACAATATTTGCAGCCCCCCCCCAAACAGAACACATTCTTTTTACTTTCCTCAGTATTACAAAGTTGACTCTCATTTCTGTCAGTGTTTTTAGAGATTTAACATTTAAAGTGGAGATTGTTAATTAAAAATGCTGAATCCTTGGAAATCACAGGATTCTAAGCCCTAATGGCAAGAGGTTATGTGAAGTGTATTGCTCTGTAATAAACATTTGAGGCAAAACATCTCAAGGGCATTCTTAGTAAATACAAGTAACTTCTACTGAAAAACAGCCTACAGTGAAGGAATGTTTCAAATATGACAGGCAGTTCACAGTCTTGCAATGCTATTTTGCTGGACTATTTTGTAATAATAGCAACAATAATCAAAAGATCCCTTGCAGTAGCAGTGGTTATTTTTCAACAAAAGTGAATGGTAACATAAATGCTCGGGCAGCCAGGAATGCAATGTTATGTTTCAGGCAACAACTTCATTGCAATAGGTGTTAAGTATTATTGCTTCAAAAGCTTTCAGGCCTGGTAATTTCTTGTACTTTTTTCAGCTATGGATGACATATGAAAATATTTCTTTTTATGATCATGTCCAGGGACATGGAAGCAATGAATGTAAATTAAGAACTGAAGTTTCCAAATGTTTATGGCATTGCATTACTCTCCATTTATGTTCTTTATTGTACTGCCATTGTTTAACATAAGAAGGAGTAGCTGCTTTGGTGGCACTCATGAATGACCTCATTATTATGGAATTATCAGGACATGTTCTTATGCTCATAAGATAGTCCAAACAAATCCACTTGCCCTGTCTGTGGTAGAATATCATGTTGAAAAGGCTAAGAGGAGAAAATAGGAACCCTATACTTGAATAAAGCCATTTATAAAGGTCAGGAGTAGGTAACACAGCTGTCACTCTTATAACTCTTGTAGGAAGAAATGGATGGTCTCTTTAAACTGTGAGGGACTTACAATGGAAGAGCACTGAGCAGTATTACTCATTCATCCTTACTGTTGCTGAAGGAGGTTGTGCACTGACTTTGGTATGTGTATCCAGAGAAATGGGAGGGACCTTAATGAGCCTGGGAAAAAGGTTGCTCTGCCATGGAGAAGGTCATGTTCCCTTTCTGTCCAAAGGGTATGCTGGCTGCATCTTGCCATATCAGTCCTGTTCATTGACTCCTGGGCATGTGGCATTATTGTGTCTCATGTCATTTTATTGGACAGTCAAAATCTGGTGAAGAATTGTTCACGCAAGCTACTGCCTGCTTCAGTGGTAGTAAATGAGTATGTGTTTGTTTCAAAATCAGCCTTATTGCAAGTCTGAAGCACATTCACTGAGGTTGAAACCAAAGCTTTTTATCTTAGAATTTTGGTCATGTGCTTTATAGTTATAACAAGTCAGCTAAAAGCAATAGGTTGCTATATGCAGTAATGAACTTGTTTAATCATGTGTTCATACTGAGAAATTGTATATGTCACATTATTATAAGCTGAGACCTCTGATCTTATATTGAATGGATGGTAGGACTTAGAGAACAAAGCTTAGAAGTGTTTTCTTTGTGCTAGACCCTTATATGCTATACAGTATTTGATGGAATTATTCTGTATATTCATAGATCAAGGCCTTAAAATGTTCTTAGAGAAATAACGACTCACTGTTCAATCCCCCAGATCGGCAATAAAACATTAAGGTTCTGATAACTGTATATTTAGAAGGTTACTGCTTCCACAAGGGCAGTGGCTGGTCCATGCAGGAGTAAGCAAGGCAAAATGGTGTGAATATGTCCAGTGGGGAATGCTAACTGTTTGCAGCAACCTGCTATGAAGCCAGCTGGCAACACATCGCATGCAGCCATGCTGTTCTGCTAGAGGTGCTCCCTTGACTGGCAAACAGCAGGCTTGCCAAGGCTACAAGGTCAAAAGTCAGAAGCAAAACTGCAAGGACCTAATGGTATTTGTTCCCAGCTGAAAAAGCAAAGCAGAAAATATATGCATTTCTGAGTTTGGTAAGGAAACAGGCATGTATGTAGTGTTACTGTTCAGCTCTGGTCAAACCTTGTGCTTCACAGGGGCTTCCCTATGGTGTCTCAGTGAAAACCCAGTTTGGGAAGAAAACCACACCAGAGGGAACATAGACACAATAGCTTTATTGCTACTCCATAGACTCAATAGCTTTATTGCTACCTTGCAAAATTTCCCTATGCCAAAATTGTTTCCTCAAGCTTTGGTCACTGAACCTACAACTTATCATTGACGTTTAATGAGGTGATTTCCATCATACAGTCAATCACTTCAAGGTAATGATGAAAAGGACTGAATGAAAAAAAGGGAAATATTTTCAACAAATCTGCACAAGTTCCAAATTTCTATCCTGTTTCCAACATTGTGATGGTGTAATTATTTGAATTGCTTATTGTCTTAATTTGCAGGGAATTGTAAAAATCTTCAAAATCATTCTCCTAGAGAAATTCCACTGTCAGTTATACTGTATCGGGTATTTCTGTAGTAAGCAGCAGTTACTAAAGAAAAATTATGAAGGGTTCTGGTGGACAACAAGATGAGTATGAGCTAGCAATACACACCCTTGTGACAAAGAAGGCCATCAAGGCCATCAACATCCTGGGCTGCATTAGGACGACTGCTGCCAGTGTGTTGAGGGAGGGACATGGTCCTTCACCTTGTTGCAGTTTAGCCCCAGTCAGCAGCTAAGCACCACACATCCACTCACTCACCCCCTGCCCCACACCAACAGGATGACAGGAAGAGAATTGGAAAAGTAAAAGTGAGAAAACTCATGGGTTGAGACAAGAACTGTTTAATAATTGAAATAAATTAATTAATATTATTAATAATATAATAGTAATGTAGTAAAAAATATAAATTATATTATTGTTAATATTGCTATTACTATTAATACTACTGCTACTGCTACTACTACTGTTATTACTACTACTACTAATGAACATAACAAAGACAGAGAAATAAAGCTCAAGAAAGACAAGTGATGCAAATGAAAATAATTTCTCACCACCAACTTACTGATGCCCAGACAGTTCCTGAGCAGTGGTTCCCAGACCAACCTTCCCCCTAGCTTATTGCTGAGCATGACATATGGTATGGAATATCCCTTTGGTCAGTTTTTTTTTTTTTTTTTTTTTTTTTTTTTTTTCTTTCCTGTGATGTGATCAAAAACTTGCACATGTGGCCCAGAGAGACTGTGGAGTCTCCATCCTTGGAAATATTCAAAAGTCATCTGGACACAGTCCTGGGAAACTTACTGTAGGTGACTCTGCTTGAGCAGGGCAGTTGGACCAGATGACCTCCAGTGGTCCCTTTCAACTGCAACTATTCTGTGATTCTGTGATTCTTTGATTCTCTAGTATAGATCTTTGGAAGAACTTTAGCCTTATTAAGCACAGTGTTATGAAAAAGACAAAATGTAAAGACTGTAAATACTGTACTTCAGGTGTCCTGCTCTGAGTATATAAATTCTCCTTTAAAGCATCATGGATTTTTTTTTTTTTTTAATTGATATCAAGCAAGAAGTAAAGCAGCTGATAAGCATGAAACCAGAGCTGCGTGTGCCCAAAATATCTGTTCATCTACTTTTGAGTAATAGAATAGGAAAAAAAAAAAGGTAGCTTACTGTTTAGTTTTGGTTTGGTTTGGTTTTTTTAATTCCTATTAGACTTAAGCAAAGGCCAGCAGGTGACAAAAATGCATGTATTGAAAGGCAAGGAAATTACTAATGAAATTCCTCAAGCATTGACACCAAAATGGCTAAATATCTTCAAGAACTTCAAGGGAAAAAAGTAAATAAACAGGTGAAATTTGCTGATGACATGAAACTGAAAGGTATCGTCTATTCAGAGTGAAATGGAATGAAAGGAGGAGTCAGGTGATTTTAAGGAATGCTACAGTAGAAAAAAAATAAAATGTAACTGCACTGAAAAAAAAGTCCTGCACTTGATTGACTAACAGCAGAACTCCTACTCTTAACATCAAACCTCATCACTCTTCACTCATCACGAAAACTCATCAGAAAAAGATAGTGACAGAATTATCCTTGGGTGTAGTAATAATCTCAAGCTGACAATAGTCTATGGTTATAATGCAACCTTGAGAAAGAAAATACAGTGTTAGGATGTGTCAAATAATGTATTGCTAGAGTCAGGGAAGTACAATGCCATTGTACAAGGACCTGGTGAGAACTCATCTGGAATAATGTGTGCAGACTGAACCACTGAGTTCTAGCAGGTATGTGGGGAGAAGGACCATGAAGATGACCATGAGAATGAAAAACCTGTAGTGTGACAGAAGAGTTTTGCTTGGTTGCCCGAGACAAAAGAAAGTAAAAGGAAATAAAACTTCTAAGCTAAGACAATGTTGGCACAGCAAATGGATATGAACAATTGAGAAACATATTCAAGCTGGAAATTAGAAGAAACAGAAACAGACAAAACCCAAACCCTAACTATCTTTCAGGTGGAGTTTAAAGGATTAGATGAGGCGGCTACTAGCAACAGTGAGGAATTAGATTCAGTGACCCTTTCCAGCCCTCTTCCAGGAATACAAAAGCCTTCCAGAATTCATCTTTTATTGAAACATCTCACACCAAAGGAGACAAACTGCATCCATCTCAAAACAAGAGATTTAAAATTGAGGTCAATCACATTTTAGAAATGAAAGTGCTACTGTTGAATTACAGCTATATTTGTGAAACATTTTTGCCATAGTTACAAATTGATTCACCCACAAAGTATGATTCAGATTTCTTTGGAAAGAAATGTCATGTATTTTTATCTAAGCTCTTCAAGTTTAATATAAAACATTTTATCATATTGTATTACTTTAGATTTCACTGAAAAATGGGTTACCTGATGAAGATAAATATAAACTATATGAATCAAAATGAATTAAAGGCATAATTCAGTGCATATTTTAACATGTTAAGTGTCTACTCCTTAATCTCAAGCACACAAGGTAAAGAAGAGTTTGATTAGTGTTTTCCTACTGTTTTCAGATGTGTAAAATGAAAGTGCATACTCCAAGAGCTTCAGTTTCTATATTGTCAGAAAAGTGAGGTTTTCCCTGTTCTAAATAGCAGTCTGCATCTTCTGCTTCATACCATTAGCATGAAGAACTACTATGTGTAATTTCCACACTAACATGTTTAATTTTGTGAGTTACCTCTGATAATGTGGAAAGGTTAATTTACTTTTTCCTAGTATTTGGAGTTAAAAACCCCTCAAATTATTGTCAGCTGATCCTTGAAATATATATCCAGGCAAGAAATCAAATCCTCCTAACTTATTTTGTGTTTTGGAAGCAAACTTAGAACACGTATTGCCACTTTTTGGTAGAACATGAATTTACTTCACTGGCAGATATTACTTTTGCAGATGTACTCATCAATGAGCAAGGCATCTTTGGTATTAAGTTTTTATAACACCTTTGTTGTGTGCCACAACGAACTTCTGTCTTTGGATTGCTAGTTTTCAGAAGTGAGTCCTTCTAATCCTGGTAATTTGACTGAGGCAACCCCTATGTTCTGATTTTTAATACTACATGTATAAGTTCATTTTCTGGATCCAGCCTGAGTGTGGAGAACAGCTAGGAGAACAGTTATGCCTATGAGATTTCTACTTAAATCTGAAAACTCTGTTAGGGGTTGTGGTCTCATGTTTGCTATTTGGGAGTGAAATCTTTAAAGCCTTTGAACCTGTGATTAAGCTGGTTTATGGTCTTGAATTTCATTAAAACTCAAAATAACTTCCTTCTCACACACTATGTTTCTGCTTATTGAAGAGATCCTTTGTTTAATTAGCAATAAATTCCAATTAGAAGAAACAGTGCATTAGTTCAAGGGGTTCAGATTAGCAGTGTAGAATAAGGGGCAACAAAATATTAAGTTGCTTCATCCCACAATTCAATATAACAAAGTTTTCCAAGAAAATGACAAAAGAAGCCACAAAACATATATTCTGTATTTTCCAACATGAAGGCCCTAAGGGAATGGCTTGGTTATTTCTCTGATAAACGTCTTGAAAAAAGCTGATTACATTCCTGTCCAAGTCAACAAAATCATGTTTCTACCTTTATGATGGGTTCGTTGGACTTGACAAAAAGGGAAGTAATTCTATGGGGAAATCAAGCATGAAAGTCTGTATACTGTGTGTCTGACTCTTTAATGGTGTGCTGCACGCAGAAAGAATATTTTCTGCAATTTATTCCAGCATGATAAATAGTCTCTGCAGTTGTGTTCCTATTGCAATTGTAAAGAACAGAGGGTGGAAACCCAGCTGGGGTCAAAATGACAGCCCACATTTTTAGTGACGCATCGTACAGCTCTCCCTTCAGTGTTAAAGAGCTGGATTCAAAGATGATCTTGTCACCTAGAGCTCTAGGACTGACATTTGCAGAATTTACATCACACCTGAATATATTGAAGTATACTTTCACTGGGGCATAACACTGTCAGGATCTCTATGTTCCTGATTACACTTCCATTAAATAATTTACAGGTTCTGCAACATTTGCCATGTTATGCAGACAGTGTTTTGGAGGTCTTACAGCAAGTGGCTATGGGTACTCGGACTGGGGTTGAATCCTATAATTGATGTTATGCATTACTTATGTCCTGATGTGGTAGTACAAAACATTTTCTGAAATGTAGAATAAATAATAAAGCAAATTTGGTGATTATTCTGAGGAACAGCTATCTCTATATGTTAAAGTAATATGCTCTGTCCCATTCACTGCAAGGAAAATCAAGATTTCTTGATGACAGATTTCCTTGACATCTATTAGGATATACTAAGTTCCTCAGTTCTCTAGAATAATTTTGCAGTTATTCTTGTTCTGGACAATGAGAAATACATATAGAAAAACTTACTCATCTTCTAAAGGGAAAATGAGACTAAGAAGCCCATTCTTATTAGACCACACTTTAGGACAATTAGTGAATTGAATGCACTGATACTACTAACTTTTCATATGGATAAGACAACAGTAAAGGATTAACAAAGGAGATCTAGTGAATGAATCTGTATTAAAGCTTTGATTCACTGTGTGAAAACCCAAAGACTCAAGGGCTGGAAAAGACTAACAAATTAATTTAAATTCTAAGTCTACTAAAGTGAAGATCTTGAGCTGTATGTTTTCTTTTAAATTAATATAAGGAATCATAGTTCATTACTGAAAGTATTGAGGAAAGACAAAAAATACCTATGGAGAAGTGGATTAGTTCAAGAAGTGTGTGAAAATGTCCAGACTTATTTTTATCCTCCAGAGAGCAAAGGAAGTGTAGCTACTCCTGGACATCATGTTAGAGTGTGAGTGAACTCTGTAGTATGATACCTAAGTTTAGATGCCTTCCTGTGTGCTAGGTAACAAAGCTCCCCTTATTGGTAATGAACATCTAGATAATTCATTCATTGGAGAATTCTGTGTGATACAGCTGTATGTCCAACAGAGCCGCTCTTTCTCTGAATGTCATCCTTTCCAAGGAATGACTTGAACAACTTATTCCTCAGTGTACAACATTATCTCTACCTCTGTTTATTACATTTTCATTCTTCAGTCACATGCATGTTTATTACACGTTTTCTTTCAAGGTCTCTGATACTGTCAGTTCATACAATAGGATAAAGAATGGATCCTAGTGAGCTGACTAGAGGTCCATCTTTGTAAGATGCTAGTGTGTAAGATTTAGATATGTTATTTAAGCACAATATATAACGGTCTCATGTCAATGACATTTTACCCCTCTTGCAGTAAGAGGTACTGTTGGTGGATTCAGTTATTTCATGGTTGTGTGTAAGACAGTATGATGCTTTATTGGCCTGTCTGGTACTGCAAGTGTCTTATTGAAGTCCCCTTTCTAATATCTGATCCCTACCTGATCTTTCTCTTCCTCTTCCAGTGATGCTTCCAAGGACAGTATCACTCCACATAAGGGGCAGGGGAAGACAGGTGGGTGCTGAAAGATGCATGAAGAGGAAGATGAAGTTCCCAGGACATACTATGGGGTGGGGAGCTTGGTGAGCATGGAGGAGGGAATGCCTATTATTCATCAGCTCTTCTAGGGCCAACTCACTAAAGAAGGGTTGAATAACTCCAAGTTGTCAATTCTCTTTTGGACTCCCTTTAGAACAAAGACACTTTGACTCTTTCTACCCTCAAAAGAGTCTGGCAAAAAAAGCACACCCAACCCAACCTCCTCAGCCCCCCCCCTCCCCCCCCCCCCCCCCCCCACCAGCTGACATATAATCCTCAAGTCTCAACAGAAATCAGTGTGCCTCTGTCTATAACAAGATCATTAACTTTGTTTTATTACCCGCCTGTAATGTTCACAAGACCTCATGGTGCATGAGCAGTAAGGATGATAGGAGATTTTAAACAAGCTTCTTCTGAGGACAAGGGAGTAGGTCAAATGTTGTTGAAGGGATTTCCTTCAAAACTTACGTCAGTGTGGTCTTTGACTTGCGGGAAAGGCATGGTAGCTTTGGTAATCAAACCAATTTTTCAAGCTAAAGGCTGAGGGTAGGAAATAGCTGCAACAAAGCTATATAGTGGAAGCTGCCTGCTTGCAGAAATTACTAGGATCATTGTTTCAGTACTATCCAACTGATATGAGCAACTCACATTTGGATCCTGAGGAAGAAGCCCCACTTGAGGTGGATCGTGATGTTCCTTTCATGGAGAAAACCCCTTTGCCTCTGCGAGTTGTTGTCACAGCCACACGAGGACGCTTCAGTGGAATCACTGCACGGGGTGGTGGGGGTACACGGCCATGGTAATCAAACAACCTAGAAAAGATTAAATCAGCTGGACTCCATAAAACCTTCTGTGATTGCATATCGTGGAAGCCCTGTCAACTAAATTTTCATGTTACCTTTGAGAAAATTACCCTTTGAAACTGTAATCACTTTATATCACAGTCAAATTAGATTTTAAGGTGCTATGCACATTAAGTGCCATATTCAGATTTCAGTCACAGACCAGTGCATAGCTCAGATTTTTTGTGTAATTCAAATGAGGGATGCGTTATGGGACTCTGTTACTTGCAGTATGGAAAATCCATAACCTGCTTTCCACAGGACCACATCATTTCATTGCTCAAAACTAACAGCAGTACATTTTGTTGTGGTGATATTTCAGTTCCTTTATTACATGCATGGCTTAAATTCTAGTTTTCTATCTGGTATCCTTAAAGACAGAAAAATAAATTAACTTTTCTGAAGCCAGCCATCACCATAAAGAGATATCCTGCAGTTTGTAAAATAGCAAAAGGATCTTCATAATGAGGGACCTGTATGTCCTTCTGAATGTATAGAAGAGAGGTCCCAGAATATGTTCTCTCTGTTGAAGAATGAATTGATGTAGAATGACTAAAATATCCAAGCATGCTTAATAAAAAAATTCTTGTTCAGACCAAAACTAATGTAGCAAGTAGATATTCAGAGAATTACCACTACACTCAATAAAAGATACTCTACAACCCGATCGAACTAGTGTTCCCAAACAGAATATCTGAATCCTAAAAACACTGTTATCAACAGTAGCTAGCTAACCTCTGTAGAAGAAAATAAAGTCAGTAAAAAAGGTAATCAAAGATACAGATATATTTAGAACATTAAAGCTATGGACTCTAAATACGACAGGTCAGGAGAATAAAGTTCAGGAAATGAAGATTTCCAGTTCAGACTGAAGCAGAAGGACAAGCAACATTCTTACCAAATATTCCCCAGGTTTTTTTTTCAAATGATGCAACTAGTAATTATGGAAATTTATAACTGCATGTTTAATTTTCACAATTTGGACTATTGTCACCCAGCTGGGCAGATGGATTCACATTTGAAAACAGACATACAAGAAACAGTAGATCACCCACCACAGTATCTAACAGCATGATGAACTCGAAGCAGAATCAAACTTAAGTCTTCTAGACTGTTTTCTATCAAGTAAACACCTAATGCTTAAATCTTTACTGTTATCTGTACTGTAATCATACAGACAATATAACCATCTCCCTCCTTTTCCATAGCTGCCTATGAAATGTGTCACAGAGATTCTGTCACCCCCACTGAACTTGAACTCCATGGCCTTGAATATTCTTACTGAATAAGCAGTTTCTAGTCATTGTGAGCATAACTAAACAATTATGTATGAAGATGAACACGAAAACGTTTTTGGGACTTCTAAACAGAAATAGTACTGTTTGTTGTCACTCATAATTTATTGTATTGGATGATCTGCAAGTTGGTCACAATCTCCTGTTTCACATTAATGAAAAAAAATGTTTCAGAAGTGCTGTAAGCTATCATGCAAAAGTTCACTATGCAATTATTCTTTCAAAGGTGATTTTTTTCTAGCTCTCAACAGGTCATATTTTGATAATGTAGTGGAATGCAAAACCATGCTTCCTTTTTTGAAATATATAAAAAGATTGTTATCTAATATTACTATTCTTTTATTTTTTAAATTATGCAAAGCTTTTGGCCTTGGTATTTTGTTGCACCAAGTTTTACATATTTCAATGATATGTCTTGGTTTGGGCTGAAATAGAGTTAATATTCCTTTTCAGGGACTAGATGAGTTCTGCGTTTTGGATTTAGCTTTGGGTTTGGTATGGGAAAAATGCTGATAGCACACTGATGTTTTCAGCTGCTGCCGAGACTCCAAGGACTCTCCGACTCCCCATGTCCTGCCCGTGCGCCAGGGCACAGGGAGCAGGGAGGGAGCACGGACAGAGCACCAGACCCAAATTGGCCAGTGAAATATTCCATATCATGGAACGTCATGCTCACTGTATAGAGGAGGGGTGGTTGGGAAGGGTCTCTCTCTCTCTCGCTCCCGGGATTGCAATTGCGGGATCTTGGTATCCCGGGGTCGCTGGCCGGGAACGGTCTGGGTGTTGGTCAGCGGGTGGTGAGCAATTACGCTGTACATCGCCTGTTTATATATTTCTTTTTGTTTTCCCCCATCATTGTTATTGTTTTAATTTTATTGCCATTATTAAACTGTTCTTATCTCAGCCTGCGAGTCTCCCTTCACCCCTCTAATCCCCTCCCCCATTCCCAGGTGGGGAGGGGGAAGGGAGGGTGATTAGCTGCGGGGGTTGGTTGCCGATCAGGCCCAAACCACAACAGTTTTCTTTTAAAAATGATTCCTTTTTGTCATTTTTGAAGTCCCCTGCCTGTTTTCCTTGTGGTTATAATATGGGAAATGATAAACAGAAATGCTCAGTTCTAAAGCATTTCTTTATCCCAATAATCACTAATGTGCATATAACACTGCTTTTTCTTTCATCCACCTTTATAAATTGTGCATTCCTGATATTGTCAATCTGTCGTCATTCAGATTTTATTTTACAGCACTAACCATATTTGCTACCCTTTTCTGATCCCACCACTGCTTTAGTCAAGATAAGATACATGTATAGTCCCTTCAGGGAGCTTGGAAAATCAGTGAATATTAGAAAACAAGATCTATGGTTTGGGATAAACCACAGGAATTCAGAAAGTTCAGAAGTTCAAATATGCAAAGAATTATGACTATATTTCTTAATTTATATTTTTTATAGGCATGTTGATAGTACATTGAACTCTCCATGGGATTTTCTTTTCCATGCCTACCATATAGAGCTTTTCATCTTCCACTTCAGTTAACTTGGATCTAAGAGAGACCCTTAACCTCCTAAGGTTTTCATTGTCAACAGATCAGCATGTCCAGCCTTATGAGGCCAAACTCACATTTAAGTGTTTTACCATAAGTTCTGATGTCTATATCCTCAAAGATTTCTAAATCAGAAAATTATACTATTGAATAGATCTATGGACACATTTCACTGTCACAAAACTAGCGGCTCAAACTGAATCAAACTCAGGAAAAAAAAAAAACAACACCAAAAAACATTGTTTCTACATTTTTCCTACAGGTTTCCTAAACAGAAAGAAATACAGCACACGATAACTTAACTTCAGGGTGTAAACCACTCCCTTGTTACTGTCCATAGCTTTACATAAAAGAAATCTCAGATTAGAAGAGGTTGGTGGAGCAATGCTTTGTTCCCCTTTGACTCACTTGGCCTATGCTAAATGAGGTTGCTGTAATGCAGAGACCAACACTGCTGGATCAGGAGTTTGTTGCCCATGGTCATCCTTGTTAACCCTGTGTTGTGGTCATTCTGTTACATCTGAATGAATAAGTTTCTACAGTGCTGAGCTAGGCTGTGCGTATGTACTCAAGGCACAGGTCTCCAATTGCTCAAGTATCCATACTTCTTTTCCTCTTATGGAAACACACATGCTGTTCAACTTGTGGTTTTGCTTCCCCAAGGTCCTTCTAGACTTCTAAATGTTCTTAGAAGACAAATTTTTCAGGAGACATTCTATATTGTTTCATATACATGGATGAATAGACAAAGACATGAGTGTCATACTGAAGAATTTTAGAGCTGCTATATTTTCCAGTGAAAGTAAGCCTGGAGGAACTCTGTAGGAAGAAACACTGAGCAATTAAACTACTATTAAACTGTTTAGCACAGAAAATGCCCCAAAAACTATTAAGAGAGGGAACTGTTTAATGAGCAAAAAGAAGTACCAAAAGGACTGTTTAATGAGCATACATTTGGTGATGGTAATCTTCTCTGTTTGTGATATATTCAAATAGTCATCTTCTGGTACACAATAGAAATAATGAAATGAATAATATGTAAAACTGAATCTGTCTAACCAAATGATGTGATTACATTATAAAAAAACAGTAGAAATGGTGTAGGATGTACAAAAATATAACCACACATACCGATTGTAGAAGTCATCTCTGTAGTAATCATAATCAAAGACATAACCACTGTGGAAAAAGAGAAAAACAAGAATGAACTTATTTATAGAAAAATAGACATTGATTAAAACTTCTGTGGTAATATTGGCTTATTCTCACATTCCAAGTCCTTCTTCAAAGTCCTTCCACTTCTTTTCCACAACCATACACTGTACATTATATTTGTCAATGCTGTTGTCAGCTGTCACTGTAATACACTTGGAAATGTGAAGTCTGGGTCACGCATATCAGTGTAAACAGTTGACAGCACATATAGAGAGGATTTAACACAGCGCAACAGCTCTGTAATTAGAGGATCATTATAGTGTAATTCTCTGATCAGATGAAGTGAGCACTCTAATACTGAATACCTCTTTTTTCTGGGCTAACATGAAATAATCAGTGGACTAGAAAGACTGCTAAATACATGAAAGATTGGTAAATGAGTAAGTAGGTGAGCAGAGATAAGACAATTAATTTGATTTATGAGAAACACAAAATGGGTTGGACTGCTGGTCCTTGAGTTTGCCAAATCTTCTTTCATCATAAAGAAAAAAGGAGAAAAGTTAGGAAAATGAATGATGTAAGCAATAGTGTTACAGCGATGCCTTGCCTCTCGGGTTCAGAAGGGAATATACATACCAATCTGGGAAAAGACAGGCACCATCAAGGGAAACAAATGTACGTAGGAAATTGCAAATGTCCAGGGGAAAACTATTTTTGAGCTGTCAATTACAAAGTCAATGCTAGATTGATCTTCCTAGTTTTGTATTCCATTAACGACTTTCTACCTTTATGGTGAAGAAATATCAATGAAGTCTATCTGTCTTACACATCCAAAAAAATAGAACCAAAGGGCTAATAAATGGTCTGCATAGAAAAGTTACAAGGGATTTGTACTCTGCCTGATGAAGGCCTAGTAAAACAAACCCCAGGTTTTTTACTTGCCTGAGAAGGACAATTATGAATAGTAAAGGATGAGAGGCATAGAGAAAGTATCACAATAAATGAGAAGCTTTAAATAAGAAAGCAGAAAGGTAGAAAGGAGAGAGTTATAAAGGACAAAGAACAGAAGAAAACATTCACTGAAAATAAAGGGAGATAAATGATAGTAGCTACATATTAATGAAATCTGTCTTAATAGGGAATGGACTTGTGGATAATATCTGCTCTTGAACATTGAGCAAAACGTCTTCAATTTTCTTTAGTGCATAATTTGAAGAATGGGTCAAGAATTCTGGAGTTCCTTGGGGTTGTTTTTCTTCATTAATTTCCCTTGTCTGTAACTGGTAAAAATGTCCATCAAAGGAGCAGGAGGTCAGGGGACAATTTCCACCTCTTTCACATCTGCCTCAGATTCAAGTGCCCAACTGCAAGTGGTAAGTTTTACTGTCTACCCAGATAATACTGGACCAGCAGTGAAGATCATGAGACTCACCAGCTGAGAAAGCCGAGTGTAGTCCTGTTGGTAATTTATTTGAGAAAAGAAAGACCTATATGAATTTTATGTGAAACACTAAATAAAACAGCCCTCAGAGACGAGAACCCAGCAGCCAGTAAGCTGTGTGTGGCAGAGGATGCAAAATAACATTAAGTAATAATAGTTAAACCTTGTATAGTGATCATGTTTCTATATCTTTCCTTAAGGCAAAACTAGCAAAATTTTCCCTAATCTATATGATGGCTCTTATTTTGTCTTTTATTCTATAGCCAGTCTACATGAAACCAGGAGGTAGAAGGTAGCAAAGCTGTTACTTTACTTACAGCTATTCTCAGTTTGATAGTGGTTTTATTTAGCTGAATGATTAATAGCTGCAGTAAGCCCATACTTAATATTCAATTTGTGTTAAGTAGAAGATAACAGACAATTTGAAGAAAAAAGATTAAATCTAAAAGGCCTGTCACACGAAACCTTTCACCTGGTGTGACATTAATTTAATTTGCATAAAGACCAAATAAATCCAGTTTTTCAAGGTTGAAGACCATGAAGCTGATGAAGAATAATTCACTTTGCACCAGCTAGAGTAGGGCTGAAGGGCAGCTATATTTTTCTGTGGCAACTCAGCTCTGGCTGATAGGACACAATAAGTACTGCTGGCCCTTCACTGGGCTTTCTGAGTTTGGAACTTTTAATGTACAAATGCCATGACAGAGGCAGCTCAAAGCCACCCCTGGGAACAGTGGCACTGATGGGGCACAGGAGGGAGACAGGTCTCAGGCAGGTATCTAACTGTGTTAGTGAAAAAGTCTGTAGGCTTGAGAGAGGATTGAGTGGTTGGGAAAGGTTCACAGGTTCCTCAGATGATGGTAATTGCAGGCAGTGGAGGTTTTGGGTAGGGAAAATGCAGGAAAGGTTTTTTCTGATGTGGTAAACAATTGTTTCTTTCCTTCCCTACCTTCTATTCTCACTGTCAATTTACCACTGAGATTTTGTGACACAGCGTTCTTCATGCAGAATATGTCTATATTGTTGAAAAATGTGGCTTATCTTTTTTTTTTTTTTTTTTTTTCAATTTAGTGTAACATCTTCGATAATACTTCTCTTTTGAGAGAAGCAGTTTTGCACATCAGCCATCCCCTAAGAATTTAATTTTTTTGCTCTGTTCCCTGTTCAGGTAACTTCTGTCTTGAAACTGAAGTTCGTTCTTTATGTTTCCTCAGCTTTGACAATGACAGTTTCAACCCACATGGTCTAATTTTTATCTGTGAGACCAGAGCAGGAAAAAGTAGAAGCACATTTTGGAGTCTGGTTATCACATGGCAGTGTAATCTATGAATTCTTGTAAATTTTTATGGGTTGCTTATATTACCTTGAAAAATTATTTAATTGGTTCAGAAGCATCTGATACTGTTTTTATGTCTTTAATTTTCACCCAGAAAAATCCCAGCAGTTTCCATATAGTGTTTTACAGCTGAAGTTATATCAAAAGTTCTGCTGCAGATGTTACCTCTAACCTTAAGGTGCTTTGAATTTTTGCATGGTTTAGTTCAGTAGCATCCATCGCTACCAATATAAGGTAACTGTAATTATTCTGTATGTTGCATGACAGTCGGTATCTGAAATGGGCATATACATGGCTTTAGCTGCAGCAAACATTATGCAATTTGTCCTTTTTATCCCTCTCTCTGCCAAAAGCTTACTGACCCTGTGGCTGGGATACGAGATGCAAACATATTGTGGCTTATAACAGTTCAACCTGCTAGAACAATTGACAAGCTAACAGGAGTTGATTTGCTTGCATTTTTAGTCTGAGCTTATTGTAAATGAAATCATCACAATTCAAGTGCATCCCTGTTAATTAAGTCCCATGTCCCATGATATGGATGCGGGGCACTCCAGAAGAAGGTGGGAGGGAATCTCTGCTTTCCCCACAGACCATTTGGGATCTCTCTGCACTGGCAAAAGGCATTTCTGTGTGGAAGTACCATTCACATAGAGTGGGAAAGATCCAGTTCTGCACATACAGGGACTTCTTGCCTAGGACCACTCTCAAAGATGTGGCAACAGCTACTTGACCCTCGGGGTAGGAATAGCATCCAGAGGTACTAGAAGTGGATGGGATGCCATGAGCTCTCAAGAGAGCAAGGGGCTAAATCCCTTATGCCCTTTCCCATTACATAGTCTCTTTGAAGAATGATGATGGAAGTCAAGTTTACAAGGAATAACATTTACTCTTCCATGTTATCTATTGAAATAACAGAAGAGGAATAGTATTGTAGGACCCCATCTGTAGGTGTTGACCATTAGGGAATAAGACAGATAAAGGAGGGTGGGTTTAACACTTTGGGAAATGTTGATGTGGATCCTTCTTTATATCCATGATCTGGGTCTCTTTTTCCCTCTCTGAAATTCTACTTGCAGCTGTGGCAGCACAGGCAACACTAACACTGCATGCTGTAGATCCTGGGTTTAAATGTCCTTCACTCTGTTGAGTTAACAGCCTGTGGATGCAAGACATCGTGTGAGACCCTTAGAGGTCTGGGGTTTTATAAAGGAAGTTCCTAGTCCTTCTGGCTGTGAAGCAGTTGTCCTGTGTGTGTACTGGAAAAGCTATGAAACAACAAAAATGAAAAGAACCCCAAATTGATGACCTAGGTGGAAAAAAATATTTTCTGTTTTTAACAGATCTCACTTAGCTTTTTTCTTTTTCTTTTTCTTTCTCTTTCTATTTTTTTTTTTCTTTATTTTGAATGATGATGTTTCATTTGTAATAATATGTTGAAGAGATTATACTGTGAAAGCAACCAGTACATCTCTCCAACTACAGCCACAATTGTTCACACTTATGCATGCCAAGGGACAGACATAGGTTTTGGTCAGTGCTGCGGTATAAAACACAAAGCAGAAAATTAGCTCAGATAATCACTGGCACTGAGATCAAGGTGACTGCAGGGCTCTTAACCTCTTGAGAGTTATTCCTTAGCAACCCAACAACCTGTGTTACAAGGGCTGCAGGAAATCATTCGCACGGTGTTGAATACCAAATACTCAGCAAGTCGGAAGCAGAGAAAGGTTTAAACGAGCCTGTGAACTGGTGGAGTCAGCGGTTTCCTAATGGCATTGTAAACAGGCAGATTACTTACCCACAAACATATGCCATCTCTGCAATATTAACAACAGAACTGCGTGCATGATGCTGCTATTAAACCAGAAGACAGTAAAAGACACTGTAATGCTCACATTGAAGCAAAGAAAACTCATTAATAAGGTGTGTTTCTGTTAAGCAAAAGTCATGGTTCCTTTTTCTTACCTAGTATCACCAAGACAATCTTGTACAAGCTGTCTCTTTTAGTTTTGCTTCACTTAACACTATGCCTGCTTTAAATTGTGTATGCCTGAAGAATAATGGATTCCTCAAAGACCTTATTTTCAGAATTATGATGCTGTACATATTCAAATTTCCTATGCATATCAGCAGTTGCCTGTGTGTCAATCAGGCAAATGTAAAATTATGCTTCTGCATTTTTGAAATAAACTTATATCTGGATGTTATTATATGTTTATTTATCTGATGGTATTATATATTGAA